TTGATCTAAAAGCTTTGTCTCAATCTAATAGATGGGACGGACATCGACCTGAAAGCTTCATCGCCGGCACTCTTTTGCCACTGTCCTTTCATCACTGCTCGATAATGAAAGATTTAAAACCAGATCTGGAAAAGTGTCCATATCCCTTCGCCACCCTGTACAGGGGATTAAAACTAGATCCCTTTTCCGCTGTCAAAGTTGATGAAGAAGAAAAAATGAGTGGGTGTGGAGGATGGTCTGAGGAAGACGAAGAAGAAGAAGGGGGGAGGGACTGTCTTAGAAGAGGAAGAAGTAGAAGTGGTTTGTACGAAGAAGAAGAAGAAGAAGACTTGAATTTGCAAGAGGGGGGAGGCTGAAGAAGAATGGGGGTCTGACGGGTAAAGGGGCTGGCTCAAACGAAAAGAAAAGAGAAAGAGAGGATAAATTAGTCTTTTTGTAGTGATAGAATTTAGGATGGAGTAAAGGGTTACTGGACTGGGCCAAAAGATACTTGAATTGAACCACTTTAAAAGATTGAATTCAATCTTTTAATGTGGTTCAGCCCAAGTATCTTATTGTCCAATCCAATGATCCATACTCCGTCCTAAATTCTATCATGGTATCGGAGCCTTGTTGACTAAGAGGTCACGGGTTTGAAACTCAGCGCCACCCAGTTTAAAAAAAAATTAAAGTTTCACGTGCAAGGCTCGAAAAAGACTATGCCTGCACGTGAGGGGCGTGTTAGAATATAAACAACTTTTTCTGCACAAGCTTGAGCTTTTGGTTGAATTGGTTCCTTGACATGTAGAAATTTATTTGCCAAAAAGGGAAATGGGAAGAATCAAGTGGGACGACCTAAAAAGGATAGTGAGAATAAAGATATGGGACGGAGGGAGTATTTGTTTTCCTATATTACCTAATTAAAATAAATAATACACTCGGGTTGAAAAATAAATTTAGCTACATTTTTAAGCAACTTGAGAAAAAGCACTCTTTTTATGAGACACAAAGAAGTTGAGAAATATGACACCTTTTATGGGACAAAGATAGTATATTTTTTAAAAAATAATAATTCATCTGCACACTTTCATTGAACCAAACTTGACATTTTTTAACTCTTACATTTTCCACTCTCCCCCCTCGCCCCCTAAAACCAAACAAGGAGAACTAATATAGAGTGCAAAAGTTTGGTGCAAGAATCTGGAAAATATGGCACCTTGAATGATGAGTATAGGAGTAGCCCTGCCAATGGTAGGTTAACTGCTTCAAATCTCTAAGATAACATCGACAAATTTAAGACAAACTTATTAGAGATAGAATTGTTGAGGATAGGAGGTGTGTGCGCATATAAGTCCTACATTACTTGTGTACATATCCGAATGGATAGGAATCAACTGCCAACCTGAATAGTTGCTGTCCCAAGTAGTATGATAGACAACCGGAAGATTATTGCTCCAGCAATTCCATATGAAAGCACTCGATTCTGAAACAAAATGCATGGGATATTCGACTAATGAACAATGGTGTAAGATATCCTCTCCAAACAAAATGTAAGAGGGGGTAGATTCCGGACCAAAGTTTTTTAATCATGGGATAATATAGTACCTGATACATGAGTGGCACTTTAAAATACTTGAATATCAAAACAAAGACAAACAAATTGTCCACGGACAAGCTCTGCTCGAGGATATACCTGATAATTTAAGAGAATATAATGAGGTGCAACTCAATACAAAATTGTCATATTACCGAAGAGAGCAAGATACCATCTGAAGACCGAGTAATAAAGAAATATCGTCCATAGAATAAAACAAACAAGTCCATTATGAGATTGAAATTGTTTTTCGGCATTAATAAATTGAATAAACAGTGGCCTAATACGCAACTTGTGAAATTGTAGTGCTGATAGGGAAACACTGCTTCGTACCCAGCAAAAAACTCAGATGCCTTTCCAATTCCATCCTTAGAACCCAAACCAACACCAAATACTACAGCTGACAACACCTAAAATAATGAAAGACTAGACTCCCTTCAATTAGAATGTTCAAGATCATGAAAAAGTAACTTTGACAGTTGGGCATAACCATGAGTCAATGATCAAACGAAGTACTTACACATAGAGCTACATTCCTAACAGAAGACGAATAATTCACAGACCCATCTGTACTGCAAGAGATATCAATATCGTCATAGCTATCAACTGGGCCTTTGTGTGACATTTCCGTCCCTGCAAGACAGTTTAGCCACCCAATATTAGCTTATAATAACAGGTAGTACATCTGCATAGCATCAATTATCAATTCTTGTTAAGAATTTCTATAGAGATTCAATAACACTAGTTTTTATATATTCCAATTTATTCAGTGACGGAACTAGGGTGGGAGTGGTGAGCCCCCCCCCCCCCCAAAATATGAGTGACAGTTGTATAGATACAATAACATACTTTTGAATATTCGTTATATTTGAACATTTGGCCCTTCAAAATAATTAAATATTGAAAGATTAATCTAGTCTAAAAGTACAGTGTTCAACCAACTATTCTTTACCTTCACTAGTTAAATTTTGGCCCACTTATATCTATTTTTTGGCTCTTTCAAAAAAAAAATCTATTTTTTGGCTTTGTCACTGATAAGCCAACTTCTCCAAGAAAAATGCTTCCCAAAATGCCTAGTTGCCTACACTTGTACCCTAGATAAAAATCCCACATAACTAAAACTAAATCCCACATAACTCTCAATCGTAACACTATGCTGTATAATATCCTTCTGACTATCCGTGGTTTGGTCAGTTGAAGTACAGGGAGCTTTGCCCAGAAACTACAAACAGCTCAGAGATTAGAAATCTTGCCTGATGCAGACGATTTTTCTCCTTGTTCAGTTTTCCTTGAGCACAGAATTGCAGAATCATTCCTTCGTCTAAAACTACAGCCATCTGAAAATTCAAACCCTAAATTACCACTAATCTGCAGTGCCGGAAAAGCTATTGTTTTTTTCCAGTAACACACAGTTGTAAATCATTACCTAAAAGCCGTGTTGGGTAGTGAAATGGAGCAGATTGAACTCGAAGCCGGCTGGAGTAAATTGGAGAGTTTCTGAAGGAGGCGAAGGCCAGAGTTGGAGCTTGGATACTGTAATGGTGGTGCAAAATGGAAGAAACCAAATCCATGGCTTCAGACCGGCAGGAATTTCAAATCCCGGTTGAGGATGGGCGGACTCCCCTTAGCGAAACAGTGAGAGATAAGCGATCAGACAGGATATGTATAAATTGGGATTGCTAAGGCTTTTTAGTTAGCCTCACCTTATGTGATCTAATTATTATTTGATCTAAGGTCAATGGTAATCCCTGATTTGTCATAAAATTTCGATTTTTTTATTTTCTCCACCCATAAAACTTTCGTCTGGGCTTACGTCCGGAAATGTTCTTTTCATTTGACTTTTCACGGTCTCCAATATTGCACTTTGACCATTAATATCTATATTTATATATAAATATTTTTTTATAAAAAATTGATATTTGAAAACTACGTTTCATTATGAATATAATGATATTAAATTTACACCATAATACAATGTGTTTTTTCCACAAATCGTAGTCAAAGTGTATAAATTTCGACCAAGAAAAGTCAAATATGAAGAATATTTTCGGACGGAGGGAGTATCTGGAACCTTATTTAGATTCTATTTATATATTTATATTATAAATATTTTATAAATATTATAAGCTTTGATTAATTAAAATCTCTTTTTTATTGACTTTCTCCTTTCTTTAATCCGCAGGACGTCAAATTCAGGTTGCTCTTCAAGTTAGTGAAGTAATTTCATTGTAATTAGACCTAACATGAACAGAATCACGCTCTGTAGTATTTGAACCTACGACATCGGGTTTTGGATGAATCTTAATTTTATAGTTGGTAAGATTTGTGAAAGGCTTTACACGTTTATTATAATATTATATAAGAACAAATCTGGCTTGACTTCCTTCTATTTGTTCCCATGTTTTCTAATCGTCTAGTGGCTTTATGATGCTTTTGACGTTTGGAGGCGTTAAACACTGCCACCCTTTCCCGCTGTAGTGGTGTTATTTTTGAAGCGTCAAACGTTTGACGCAAATTGCAGGCCAAAATTTGACCGTTGGAGCCCCCCGCCCCCCTTTTC